TCCTGACCTGCCAGTGTCTGCTTCCCTGTGCATTCCCATGGTTCTCCTCCTGTCTGTCCTGACAGTGTCTGTTTCCCTGTGCATTCCCATGGTTCTCCTCCTAGGCAAAGCCCTAGGATTTTTTGGCTTTGTCCTGATTATGATAGCCTATATTAAGCAGTTTTGTATAAGTGTTTAAGGAAGCAGCAGTGTACACACACACACACACACACACACACACACACACACACACACACACACACACAAACGAGTTTTCCTAGCAAGTTTCTTTTGTTCCCATTGTTAGCTACTGTGCCTCTGCGCATTTGTGGATTCCCACCACTATACCAGACACTCTTGTCTTATTATCTTTATACAGTGTATAATGTGTGCATGTATGAGTTTCTTCACAGGCCTCTGAGTACTTTCTCCCACATCCAGGTGTCTTCTCAGGTGAAATGGTAGGGTGAATAGAAAGTCATGTTATGGTAATTACAGTGTAGGCCACGGGAGAAAGGTAGATGGCTACCACGATGGTAAGTCTGAATTTTCCCACAGCAGCCTTGGCCTGGTGTCTTCTGGGCCCTGTCTGTAGGTTGATTGCCTTCTTTCTGCTCTCTGGCACTAAGGTAGCAGGTGTGACCTCTATAGAAAACCTTGTGTCTCTTGGAAACTAGAGTCCTTAGATGAACATTTATGTTATCGTTGCTATCTGTTACTTTGTCTGTTTTGACAAAGAAGCTTCTAGTCTGTGCTGCAAATACGGGCAAAGTGTTTATTGAAGTCTGAAGCAGATGTTTCCAGTTTAATAGTGACATCAAGAGAGTGAAGCTGATACAAAGATTCACCAAATGACTTAGAATTGGGGTTCCAACTTCACAGTTATTTTCTGTTTGCACAGACTAATTTTAGAGGAAAGGGAAGAGTGATTCATGCTTTCTGGGAAACAGGAAGAACTGGGAAAATGGAACTTTGAACCCTTGAGTCCTGGAAACACTTGTGCTGTGAGAGTCCTCCCCACCCCTCCCGTCCTCTACACGGTTGTCCTGCTGACACCTCGGCTGGCTCTGGAGTCTTGCGGGGGTGTTGGGGCAGGACGGGGGTTGGGGCAGGAGGTATTTGCTTACGTTGACGGCTCTGTTGCTTCACTGTCTTCTGACAGTTTCAGTAACTTTGTATTTCACACATCTCCTTCCTAAGCTTTTGTTATCCTTAACACTGGATCGTAAGGATGGATGGATGGATAGCATCCCTCTTTTAAGTGAAAGTAAATTTTATTTTTCTTTTGAAGAGTAAGTACTATCTAGGTGTTAGTAGAATTCAGGAGACTGAAGAATGGTCATGAGTCCAAGTCTCGCCAGTCTAGGCTACATGAAACTATCTTAGAAGAAGGGGTGGGCAGGCGGGCTTGGTAGATGGTTTGTGATTAAGAGCGCTTACTGCTTGCTCCTTCAGAGGGTCAGAGTTCAGTTCTCAGGATCCATATTGGGTAACTCGCAGTTGCCTGTTACTCCAGTCCTAGGGGATCCAACATGCCTTTCTGGACAATCACGCACGCACGCACACACGCATTGTCATTTTCTAGCTATTTGAGTAAACTTTTCTTTCTATACTAACTTAGCATTATATATATGACATTTGTAGTGGCATATAACCTTTAAAAACCTGTACCATCAGCAACCTTTCTTGTTAGACTCCTGTGGTTTAAGCTACAAAGCAGAGACTAATCAGGATATTGGTACACAAGCACCAAAGTTCTTGGCTCGTTTTTTAGTGAAGTTGAAGTTTCACACTCCACTGCTCAGTCGCAAAGAATCTTAACATTTTCTCTTTCATTCTGTGATGACTTTATGGCTAGGTGAAAAACTACGAGTCCTTGGTTACAACCAGAATGGCGAGTGGAGTGAAGTTCGCTCCAAGAATGGACAGGGTTGGGTGCCAAGCAACTACATCACTCCCGTGAACAGCCTGGAGAAACATTCCTGGTACCATGGACCCGTGTCCCGCAGCGCAGCCGAGTATCTTCTCAGCAGCCTTATCAATGGCAGCTTCCTGGTTCGGGAGAGTGAGAGCAGCCCTGGGCAGCTGTCCATCTCACTGAGGTATGAGGGACGTGTGTATCACTACAGGATCAATACCACCACAGACAGCAAGGTAAGACCTGTCAGCAACCACCTGTACGTGTGGAGATGTATTGAACAGGGTTAAAGTAGAAAATCATTTTTATGTCTGATGTAAAATAAAGTATTGCCTAATTGTGTGAATTGGGGCTGTTCGTCATGTTAGAGCTTCCTTCTTTCAAAACTACTCGGTAATAAGGTTAAAATTGTAGATAATTAATAGTTCAAGGGTAAGCTATATTTGAAGGTGAGGAATGAAGTGATGTATACATGTTAGCTGTTTTAATCAACAACACAAACCCACAAGAAGTACATAAAAACAGAAGTTACAGGGCTGGAGAGATGGCTCGGGTGTTAAGAGCACTGGCTGCTCTTCCAGAGTTCAATTCACAGCACCCACATGGTGGCTCACAACCATCTGTAATGAGATCTGGTGCCCTTGTCTGGCCTACAGGGGATACATGCAAATAGAACACTATACATAATAAATAAATAAACCTTTTAAAAAAAAGAAGTTACAGATCAGCTGTAAGCTTTGGTGAGGAGACTAATTGCCATTAAAAAGTTCATAGAGTAAGAATTGGGAGTTTGGAGACTGGTGTTTCTCATTAGTATGTGGTAATATAAATAGATCACCCAGCCACTTAGAAACTTGAATGTTGGGAAGCTCAGTCTCAGTAGAGTGAATGTGTTAGACCGGAACTTTTGAGGGCTGGAGAGAGGGTTTAGTGTGAAGAGCCCTGGCTACTCTTGCAGGAGCCCTAGCTTCAATTTACAGCACCCCATTGAGAGACCCAATGCCCTCTTCTGGCCTCTATGGGCACCAGGTATACATGTGGTGCACAAACATGTGGGGAAACACTCATACACATAAATAAAGTAATTCAATTTGAAAACGAAAGTGGACGGTAAACTATCAGGCCCATGCTTAGGTCAGTTGTTCTGGTGAATGGTTGGTTTAGGTTGGGCCCCCTTTCCCCCACTGTGTGACACACAGGAAAGCTGGGACTGAAGGCCTACGCCACTGCCGCCCGGCTACTTTTGAACTTTTTAGTGACGTATAATGTGCTGTGTGTCCGGGTGTGGGTGAGTTTGTGCATGTGGGTGCAGTGCCCACACAGACCAGAAGAGGACTTCAGACTCCCCTGGAACTGGAGTTGTGTGCGTCCTGGAGTGGGTGCTGGAGACCAAACCCCAGTCCTCTCCAAGAGCAGTACACACTTTGAACCACTAAGCCATCACTTCCGTCTCCCCCTTGTCTGTTATTAAACCCCATTTTGTAGGACTGTAAAGATTAAATGAAGCGTTTTTTGTAAAGTTTAATAGCTAATACAGCATAGGAAATACATTACTAGTTTTCTTTCTCTTTTTGTACCATTATACAAGCAGAGTGTATTGTCTATGGCCTGGTGTAGCTAGAGTTTTTCTGCCTGGCCCACAGTCAGGACAAATCTCTCACCTGCCAGTCCCACAGCTGCTCAGACCCAACCGAGTAAACACACAGAGACTTATATTGCTTACAAACTGTATGGCCGTGGCAGGCTTCTTGTTATCTAGTTTTTCTGTCTTAAATCAATTATTAATCTATAAGTTGCCACATGGCTTGTGACTTCCCCGTATCTTAACGTCAGCAGCTGGCAGCGTCTCTCTCTCTCAGCCTTCCAGTTCCCAGAATTCTATTCTCTGCTTGTCCCCTATACTTCCTGCCTGGCTACTGGCCAATCAGTGTTTTATTTATTAACCAATCAGAGCAACACATTTAACATACAGAACATCCCGCAGCAGGTAATGTAACAAGACCCAACAGTTATTTGTTCGCTTTTGTTTGTCTCTTGACAAATACCAGAGAGAAACAGTTAACAAACATTTATGTTAACTCACGATTTCAGAGAGCTCAGTCTGTTTCTAGCAGCTGTTTCTAATACTTTCAGGCTGTGGTCAGGTAGAACATCATGGTGGCGTCACGTGGTGGAGCAGAACTGCTCACCTCATAGCTACCAGAAGGGACCAGAGAGAAGCAGCGTACTGATTGGACTCACCAGCTGAAGAACAGCCAGCCCTTCAGCATAAGTCTTTTGGGGGACACTGTGCATCTACACAAACACAGCAGAAATGATCACGCCGATAAGCCAGACTTAGGCAAGAACAGTATTTATGGACGTCCCAAGCAGTGTGATTTATTAATAAATGATCATATATTGTTAACCTAGAATCTCCTACAGAAACAGAAATGAACATGATGTTCTATATACAAGTTCCTAGGAAGCTGTGGCCTACGCGCTACCTAGATCACCATGTCTATTGGTTTCTGTGGTATCTGAAGCTACTTTCTATTTCTAAGTAGACCTGAGTCGTTGCTACGGAGACTATGTAGCCCCAAGTCTAAGATACCTGGTTTCTATCCCTTTACAGAGAATTTTTCTGGCCTCTCTTATGGATGCGTTTCATACACATAAAGTTGATTGACAGTAATATTTGCCAGGGAATTGTGTGGAGAGGAGTGTGTGAGGGATCGCTAATAGCTATAGGTTTTCTGTGGGGGATGATGAAAGTACTTCGATGGATTTGGATGGTGGTGGTTGATAGCGAGCCTTGTAAATGTACCGAAGGCTATGGAATTGTATACTGTAAAATACTGAATTTTATAGCATGTGAGTAACAGTTTAATAAAGGGAACTGACAGAAAGCAGACATTAGGTAACACACTGTATGGTTTCCTTTACGTGCAGGTCAGACAGAGCTAGTTCCACATGCTGGGAAGTGTATGTGGTGGAAACCTTTGCAGGGGTCAACAGCTGGCTAGCAAGGATTCTGGTTACAGTTCTTGGTGTGGGGGTGCGGTTTACTGGGGGAGTTTATTTTGTGAAAGACCGCTAGTTCTATACTTACGAATTACGTACATTTTTATATCAATAAAACAACTTTTTGTTTGTTTTAAACAATGGCTTGTTATTTATCTAAACAGTAGCCTGGGCATGATGGCACATCCCCTAGTCCCAGCACTCATGAAGCAGAAGCAAGAAAATCACAAGTTTGAGACCAGACTGGGTTATATAGAGGGACTCTGTAAATTAATCAGTCAGTTAATTAAAAAACAAACAAATCATACTCTTTTAGAAGATAAAGCCAGCCTGGCGTTGGTGGCACATGCCTCCCAGCACTTAGGAGGCAGAGGCAGGCCTGGTCTACAGAGCGAGTTCCAGGACAGCCAAGGCTGTTACACGGGGAAACCCTGTCTCGAAAAACCAAAAGAGAAAAAAGATGAAGCTAAAGACTGTCTTATTTTACACTTCTTACTAAGTAACAGCATCTTGTTAATAACTCCAAAATCCAATTATCTCTCTCTCTCTCTCTCTCTTTTTTTTTTGTTTTTCGATACAGGGTTTTTCTGTGTAGCTTTGCACTTTCCTGGAACTCACTCTGTAGCCCAGGCTGGCCTCGAACTCACAGAGATACACCTGGCTCTGCCTCCCTAGTGCTGGGATTAAAGGCGTGCGCCACTGCCGCCCGGCTTATATCTCTTTTTTTAATGGCCTAGACATTTGAAAAGGGTGTTGTAAAAATAAATAAAAATTATAATTAATTATGTGATGATTAAGTAAAAATTATACCCATATAACCTCCCAATATCTAAATTAGTGGCTGTCAGTTTATGTTCCCCATGGGTGGTAAGTCCTACTTTATTAGCTTAGGAGGCAGCTTCTGATTGTCTATTTCAGTCACATCTCTCAGGTTTGGGTTGTACAGTCTCTTTTTTGTGGCAGTTTCTTGCTCTAACATAAGCTGACTTGAAAGTCCTGGTCCTCCTCTGGAGTCTTTGGAGAGCTGAATTACACATTCTGTAGTCTTGCTGCTTAGAAATATCTGAGGACTAGTCTGTCTGATGTCCGCAGCTGTGTTGGACGTTCTCCTTCAAGGCTAGTTCAGAAAGACTAGGAAGGATGCTTACAATGAGATGGAGCCATCTCCCTTGCCCTGAGCGTTGATATTTACTTGGCCTTAATTGCGATAACCTTCTGGAGCGCTAGTAGCACTCGCATACACCACCTGCGATCCCTGTGCCTTGCAGGTGGGGGCAGAAGCATCAGGAATTCAAGACCAGCCAGGCCCCCATAATGGAGACCCTGTCTCAAAACAACAAAACAAACAAACAAACAAACAGAAAAATAGGCCAGGCACAGTGGTGCACACCTTTAATTTGAGCATTCTGGAGGCAGAGGCAGGTGGATCTCTGTGAGTTCAAGGACATAGTGGAGACCCTGTCTCAAAAACAAACCAACGTCCCGTCTTCGTGTCTCTTGGGCAGTGAAGTGTATGCTTTGAGAAGGATTCCTCCTCGTCCGCAGTTGCCTGAGTCTCCTTCTCTCCCCAGGTGTACGTGACTGCCGAGAGCCGCTTCAGCACCTTGGCAGAGCTTGTTCACCACCACTCGACGGTCGCCGATGGCCTAGTGACCACACTCCACTACCCAGCACCCAAGTGTAACAAGCCGACCGTCTACGGTGTGTCCCCCATCCATGACAAATGGGAAATGGAACGAACAGATATTACTATGAAGCACAAACTCGGGGGCGGTCAGTATGGAGAGGTTTATGTTGGCGTCTGGAAGAAATACAGCCTTACAGTTGCAGTGAAAACACTGAAGGTGGGTTGCTGAGAGTTAAGTTTCCAGGCCTGTGTGTGTGCTGAATCACTTGGAAAGATCAGTGTGCCCTTCTTCAGCTTTGGAACACTTTCCACCCACTGGTGCCAAACCCTTCAGCAAATGGCGGTGATTAACCCTAGTGCCGTTGCCGACAGCGCAGGGGCAGATTATTCCCTGCAGTACAACCCACATGCGGAAGGGCTTGTCTCTGGAGGCTGGTGATAGAGAGTGCAGTGGGAATTTAGAAGCAAATTAGAAGTTCTGCTGAGAACAACCCCTGCTGAACAGAATTCTCCGAGCGGGCTGCAAATCATGAGCTCCCTATTTTGGTCTCGATCTTCTGCCTTTTGTTTCTCCCTTCTGCCTCCTTGCAATTAGAGACACCCTTTTTAGTTAGAGTAAACATGACAGGCTGTTACTAAGTAGTCCAGGTTGGCCTTCCAGTCCCGA